CAAACAAACAAACAAACAAACAAACCCAAAGGATAACTTTCCATGAAGATCGTTAGTATAAAAAAAATTATATTTCAATGACACATGAAAAGAGCTATTTTATATATCAAGTTAAACATCTACTATTATTAGACGAACCAAAGAATTAGCAAAATATTCAATTATATTTATGTTTATGTGTTGAATATCTGGCTCGATGGCTACATGCTCTAGCCTAATTTCACTAGAGTGAAGGTTTCAATTTCACCCTACTCAGCTTGCTTTACCAGATGCTTTATTATCAGGCCGTTGTCTGTAACTCATACCAGCCACTAGAGTGAAGATTTTTTCGAAACATTCTTTCAGACTAGCTCAAATTAGGAAGGCAACTAGTCAACATCACACACCGCCAACTCTTGGGCTACTCTTTTATCAACGAATAGTGGGATTGACCATCACATTAAAACGCCCCTACGGCTTAAAGAAAAGCATGTTTGGTGATGTGATTCGAATCCGCGACCCGCAGGCTGCGAGACGACTGTTCTGACCATCAGGCCATGCCTGACCAATATATTTGTGAAGGAGTGCAATCAAGAATACGAAAGCGTTCGAATTTTTGGGTGTTTTGAAATAATCTTCTTGGTTATTAGTTGAGTAATACTAAAGACATTTTTCTGGGAAAAAAAATGCTAAATTTCACTGTTTTTAATTACAGCTATATCTAATGGATGAAACAGCATAAAATAAAAGAGTTTTACGACCGAATTAATGGCTATATTTTTGCAATGTATGGAATAGTTTCCATCTTTTCTAATCTTACAAAATACCTTGATGTAAAACGAATGAACTGTAATGGGCTTGAATTATTCAGAAGAATGTCAAAGATTAATTTTAGAAATATAAGAGAGCAGAAAAGGATCAACTTCATCAATGTAATCAGACTGCTTTACCAAATGCTTTATTATCAGGCAATTATCTGGAAATCAGACGAGTCATCAGAGTGAAGGTTTTTTCGAAACGTTGTTTCATAATTGTTCAGAATATGAGGATGTCTTCATAATTTAAAGGAAATTGTTTTGTTTTTTATTATTTCGTTAGCATTTTATTTTAACTAGAGATTACCGACAAAAACGCGTTTATCGAAAACGATAATACTTTTGACTCTTAACACGAATAAAGTTAAGTATGGTAAAGTTCCTTATGTTTCAAGTGCTTTTTGGTTAAAGGTGACAATCGACATATTTACATGGTTTATCTTTAGAGTTTAAGTGTTCCATCTTGAGATCAAAGCGGCATCTGGTACCTGAAACAAATAATATAATAAATCTTTACCGTGTTCTAAGAAAAATCAAGTTATGATTACAATACTAACCCGTCCATAGAACTAATATAGAGATAGTCCCTTTGGGTGGTTCGCTGTATAAACCTTATGCAAGTAAGTTTGGAATATTCTTCCATTGCACTCTTTATTACAGCTACTTCTGACGAGCCTGAAATGATCGTATAAAAAAATGAAATAAGCTGAACAAAATGCAAAGGTGATGAAATGATAAAGGTAATGACAGGTAACACTTTGTGCATGTTAAAGTTCTCTGTGTTTTCTCAGCTGTCTTGTTTATAATAACCAAGAAATATATGACAAAAGCTTCGTAAGCGAAAAGGAAACAGTAAACACAATACTATGGTTTACGTTATAAAGAAGCTATCGTTTAAGCCTTCTTTAATGGCTTATAAACTTCAGTAAAATTTGAGATTTTGCATCTTTAGAAATGGTATACCTATATAACGAAATACTAAGAGTTCTGAGTTTTATATTTTTTATCGAGAAAACATAACTGTATTACAATTCTAACTGTAATAACTAATGCACTGGCATTGAATAAGAACGATTTGCTGATACTAAAAGTTACCCTAAATAATAAAACAATACATGTTTTAATCATTATTTTACACGCTACACGAATGTCATCTAAATCTTATTCTTCAAATTATCTTGAAACTCTTCCATTCATTAGACTTCTTTACATATAAATTTGTGTTGTGGAATAGAACTTGAACTTAACATACGGAAAACATATTTTTTCAATCATTTGGCTTGGATTATTCTAGACTGAGCAGAACATTAAAGTTGGTTAAATGACCATGTAACATCAAAGCTGGTTACGCCACCATGCCAAATTTTGAGATTCAAATAATACAAAATTAGGACATCAGTAACACAAAAGTAAAATATGAAAATACAAAGACAATTTCGTTTTATGAACTTCAAAACTTTAAGGATGAACTTATAACATTCAGATGTTTGTTTAGTTTGTCTCAATAAAAAATAATAAGGCACCTGCTAAGAATTATGAACGAATAATAGTTACAAAAACATATACTAATTATCACTTACTGTAAGAATTGGAGAGCACGTACGGAACAGCTTTATTTTGCCACTGATATCTTCGGTCTCTCAGGGCAGCTCTCTCCTAGGGGCGACATAATATTTCTGAACATTTCGAAAAACAATACCAAATACTAATAAATATATTGAACTAGGTGGCTTCATTCATGATGTCAGGAAAACACGTAGGTTGAAAAAATCAATTTAACACAAAAATACAAAACTCTATAACCCGAACGCTTTTGAAAGGTAGACCTTTCTTCATATTAATGGGCTACACGAGTTAGAAAAGTCTAGATATTCGGATACACTTTAAGATATTGTTGTGCTTTCTAATTAACACAGTTAGTAAAGTCTAGAAATTCAGATTCACTTTAAGATTTTGCTGTGCTTTCCAATTAGCACAGTTAGAAAAGTCTAAAGATTCAGATTCACTTTAAGATATTGTTGTACTTTCTAAACAGCACAGTTAGAAAAGTCTAGTGATTCGGATACATTTTAAGATATTGTTGTACTTTCTAAACAGCACAGTTAGAAAAGTCTAGATATTCGGATACACTTTAATATATTGTTGTACTTTCTAAACAGCACAGTTAGAAAAGTCTAAATATTCGAATACACTTTAAATATTGTTGTGCTTTCTAACTAGCGCAGTTAAAAAAGTCTAGAGATTCAGATTCACTTTAAGATATTGTTGTATTCTCTAAACAGCGCAGTTAGAAAAGTCTAGAGATTCAGATTCACTTTAAGATGTTGTATTCTCTAAACAGCGCAGTTAGAAAAGTCTAGAGATTCAGATTCACTTTAAGATGTTGTATTCTCTAAACAGCGCAGTTAGAAAAGTCTAGAGATTCAGATTCACTTTAAGATATTGTTGTGCTTTCTAACTAGCGCAGTTAGAAAAGTCTAGAGATTCAGATTCACTTTAAGATATTGTTGTATCATCACGCATAGCTTACCCATTCCCATCTAATTTCGACAAGGAATCTAATGAAGTTTATAAAATATAAACTCTACAACATATTATTATTTCATTTTCAGGCGATTAAAACCTAGGTCTGGTTTTGGTTTCAGTTGGCGTTACCCTTCAATTAGTTTAGAAAATAATATATTTGTACGTTTAAAAGGATAAAAATAAAATCTCTTACCCCAACACTTCTTTCGTTGAGAAGCATGATGTCACCTTCAACCAAACCTGTAAAATAATCATTTCATAACTCAGATGTAGAATAATCTTCGTGATATTTTAATGTTTATCGCAAATTAAACATGATATAGAAAAATTTGTTTATTTTTTGAATTTCGCTCAAAGCTACACGAGGGCTATCTGCGCTAGCCGTCCCTAATTTAGCAGTGTAAGACTAGAGGGAAGGCATTCATCACCACCTCTTGGGCTACTCTTTTACCAACGAATAGTGGGATTGACCGTCACATTATAACGCCCCCACGGCTGAAAGGGGGAGCCTCAGATAGCGAGTCGAGCGCCCTAACCACCTGACCATGCCGGGCCACATAGAAAAGAACCTGAAGTAAAATATTTCAGCGATTTAAACAGTTTTGAGTAAATTAGTTACTTACAAAAGAGCATGTTCTTACTGAGTACAGTTTGCGTTTATGATATAGTATATTATTTAAAGCTCTTCATAACGGTTACGAAGGATACCTCCCCAACTATTTCAGCATTTCCATAAATTTAGAAAGGTTGCCATGTCCCAAAATTAGTTCATTATGAAAGACACACTTGCTTCTTTTATTCGTGCGGTCCCCCGATAAGTCAGCGGTAAGTTTCCGGGCTTATGATGCTAAAATCCGGGGTTCGATTCCCTAGAGTGGACAGAGAGCAGATAGCCCATTATGTAGCTTTACGCTAAACAAACAACAACAGCTGTCCGTATAAATAATATTATGAACTGAAATTATAGATTATTGATCACTGGACAATCGTATCTTCGAGGGACATTTGAATATTATTGGAAAACACGCAATACTTATATCGTATGTCATTTGAAAATGTTCATTATTAACACGTCTAAGCAGTATTGACGTCCCATGTAGCTCTCTGCCATTAGTACATTTACCAAGACTTATGTCCATTAGGTATGACTTTCTACCACCAGCCATTCTATCAAAACCTACCCTCATAAGGTGTGTCACTACGACATCTACTTGAACTTATGTCCTTAATGCACAACTTTCTTTCATAAGTAAGTCCATCTAGCCTTACGCCATAAGGTGTGAATTTTTACCATAAAACTTTATTAAATCTCACGTCCGTAAGATATGATTTTCAACTATGAACAAGTTCGTCAAGACTTATGCTCAGATGGTCTGACTTTCTACCAGTAAGCTTCTCAAGACATGTGACATTCTACTACCAGTAAGCTTATCAAGACATGTGACATTCTACTACCAGTAATTGTACTAAAACTTACGTCCATAAGGTGTGACTTTCTGTCCCTGCCGATAGATGTCGAACTTTGAACAAAGGACCACATCCAGAACCATCGCTAAAACAAGGAGTAAGATTCTCATCTTCAAAGGTTTAGGTGATACCCAGCAGGAAGAGAAGAAAAGGTAATAACAATAACATATTTTAAATTTAGCCTCATTATATAGTGGCTTATCAAAGTCACGTTGATGCACGTCATAGCGAAAGATATCACTATTCAAGCCCAGAAATATTGTAACTGTTTCCAAGGTTTCGTTATCAACATTTTAGGATGATGTATGTGATGCTTGGGAAAGTTTGCATTTGTCTCGGAAAAAAGAAGCCAAAAGAGGATCTGGATATCTCCTCTGACTTAAAAGTACACCTTTTATTTTCCCAAGGCAACAACGGGGGGTTGTTAACTACGTTCTGAATGTAATAAAATAACATTTAGTAACATTATAAAAATAGAAAGAATACACGAAGTGTTACACTGAAATTTTGTAACCAGGATAATAATATTATGTTTTCTTATGCAGAAAAATTTATACTCAAAAGTGACCAACTTGATCTATTACAAATAGACTTACCTAGTGTGACCAATCAAGTTTGCAAATATCACCTCAAGAACTACCAATCAGCTTTCAAAAAACAAAAACGAACATACAAATATCCAACGAGCTTTCTAAAATAAAATTATTCAAGAATGACCATTCAGCTTTCTAAAGACATATTTAATCAAGGGTGAAAAATAATCTTTGAAAAGCGCAACTACTCATTGATGACCACTGAAAATATATATATACATTACTCTCGACTAACCAAAAACGTAAGAGAAAATATATTTACAAATATGCACTTCGCTCAGAGCGAAAAAACGTTGAAAATAATGCTATGGTGTCTAATTTGCATTTTTAAGTTCCATTCTTTTGACAAGAAGTTTATATATATGTACGTATATTATACAACGTATAATTTTGTATATATATTATAGATTTCGTCATAAAATCTTATTTTTATGTTTATTTTTTTGAATTAGGCTTTATATTGATTTTGTTTTGTTATGGCGTACACAAAAAGATATTATTTTACTCCAGCAAATCGTTAGTTAAATATCTCATTATATCTAAATAAGATTACTTATTAAATGACTAGCTGGAGTGCCCGTCCCCTGGACGGAAGTTATGCAAATTCGTGAGTAACGAAAGGTTATCTTATGACATAAAAACTGCAAAACACAAAATGTGAAACCATAAATTTGCATGTATCTTCGCATTGGCCCAATAAACTTTCATACCAATTTTGGTGAAGATCTATCTACACCCTGCGAAGTAGTTACATGGACAGACAACAGACAGTACTATTATATGTATACATTAGTTCGTCAAGAAATTAATGTCGCTTTTCTAGATGAAAAAACCCAAACAACTTATATATCAAAACAAAATATTTATTAAATGAAATAGTCTCCATTCTTATCGATGATGTTTTCTATCTTACAATCAGGTTGTTAATGTCCTGATTAAATAAATCACTTGGCTTTGAAGCAAAAA